TACCTGGATGTTAGGTAATGTGTTCGAAAAAGGCCGCCAAACGTATGATGGCATTTTCTACAAATCTTTTACTTTGAGTTACAGTCATTGCTTTTAAATATAGATATTTGGTGTACAGATTTCGCTAAGCTACTATTTTATCATATAATAGCAATATTCACATCTTGTTAATTTCATATATTTTTAGTCTTCTATTAGCAATATCTATTAGAGTAGAAAGGGTTTTCAATTAGCAACACCGATCAAAATTGAAGCTAGAAAGTTTAATGATAGCATGTACTTACATACTAAATCCAAAAGTATTTTAAGCTTTTATAAACCAATATTAGATCGATGAACTCTTATATTAGGTTTGATCAGCTAAAGCAAGTTGTAGAACTAAGATCAATATTAAAAAATATATATAATAAAAACAAAAAACCCGACTGCATAAAAACTAACTAAAAAAAGATGAAAACGAGTTGACGAAGGAATATATAATTTTATGCAGTCGGAGACATACACGTTTCATCCTTGCCGTGAGATGTACATATGTACATACGAGTATGTCTCCGACTGCATAATACTATATTCCTGCCTGCCTGAGAGACTGTCTTGTAAAATTGTATTTCTCAATAATACCATCTTTCCAACAATGATCTCTCAAAATAGTAGCAAATATTAAAAACCCACACAGTACGTACATTTATTTAATGTAACAATGTAATTTTTATTATTACAGTATTAGACGCAACGGCACATCACCAAGCCGATAGCCAGTTGTTATCGCATATTTTTTTTGTAAATTTAGCGTTTTATCAAAGACCTAGGCTACCTGATATCTTATCGGGCGTATAGTTAGGTTTCTGAATGCTCCTAGTTATAAAATAATATTATTCAGTCGTATGCTTTTTTTTGATGCAATAATAATATTATATGTTATTTAATCGTTTTAGCCATTTTATATCTAATGCTAATATTATAAATGCGAATTTTTGTGAGGATGTATGAATGTCTGGATGTATGGATGTTTGTTACTCTTTCACGCAAAAACTACTGAATGGATTTTAATGAAACTGTGCAATGCTTATACGTCAGAATAACACATAGGCTACTTTTTATCCCGGAAAAATGGACGGTTCCCGTGGGATAGATCTGTTTTTGTTTTCCTAGTTTTAGTATAATTGAAGAATGTAGAAAGATTTTAAGATATTCTATAAAGAGGTGACCTCACTTTAAAACTATTATTTCGTAGTAACAAAATGTGGCCCCAAAATTTAAACATGTTATAACAAATAGTCTATTATCTAAAAAAATGAACAGACATTTGCAATGTTACAAGGATATTCCAAATTGCACAGATGTTCTCGTATTGTATTGAAAAACAAACAATTGTTAGTTACTAGGTTTTGAATATACGTAATTGAAAGCGAGTGCGATATAATAATAAATATTAATTATACCTATGTACTTTAAATTTTAAAATAAAACACATAAGGCCTAATAACATATTTATTTCGAAGAGTTTCTAGAGGAATAGAAGGAAGACCTAACGAAAGGAAATAAGAAATATGTAAATAAGTAAAAACAGTCCATGAATGACGATGTTCTCAAAAATTATGCAATCTGTTCATTCTTCATTGGAATACATTAAAGTTAAATAATGTAACTGTGCGCTATTTCAATAACAATATTAGAGCAATAATAGAAAATGAGCATTGTATGATTTAAACCGATTATATATATATATGACGGAGGAGGATTTAGTTACCTTTTTCTGTTATGAAACCTTATTATTGTTTAAAGTCACTATGTTCTTTAATTTACTTTTTATTGCTTTTAAATTGATTTTGAATTTAGAGCAGAGATTTAGTCTCGAGCGGGGTCGAGACGCCATCACGACATTCTTTGCAGATACGTGGTTTAGTAAAGTTGGTTGATCATGGTGGATCATAGAGAGTTATGTTTGATATTGTAGTTGGAAGTCGATGATCGGTGACTGAGAACCCGCTAGCTCTAAATCATTAGAATTACCGTTTCAAGTCTATAACATTGTGATTTCCCTGATGATTGTGTATTGAGCATAGAATACTTTATTATTTGAGCCCTGATAACGCCCACAAGATGAGTAACCACCAAAGATGATGTTTGTAGTATATGGATAACACGACATATATATATATATATATATATATAATTATATATAATAATAAAAATAAATATATATAATTTTAAATGTATAAATGTTCTTCCATAAGAACATTTATACATTTAAAAAATTAAATGTATGTAAAACTATAGCAAAATTATTTTAAGGTAAGACGTCTTGTATGGATGCTTTGCAACTGAATTACCTAATATATTATATAATAAAAATCTAACTGAGTCGAATCTGTACATTAATAGCCGGATCTATAGATTTTAGAATTTTTGTCTGTCTGGGAACGCATCACGTGAAAACCACTGGTCAGATTTTGATTAAATTTAGTATGAAGATGGCTGGTTATCCGGGTCAACATATAGGACACTTTTTACCGCGGGAAAATATGTCATCTCTGAGAAATCTATATACTAACCGTTAAAATGTATATACGGATGAACTCGAGCAGAGCGAGGGTGAAACGTTAGTATTAGGATAATAATAGAAAATATTTAATATTCACAATATATATTTTTTTTTGATATTTTTACCTTGTGCCTATAGGTTAGTAAATATTTTAAGTAAGAAGACGATAAAACCGTTTGTATCAATATAATAACTATTTATATAACTCATTAATAACTATGACATCATCTACAAAATTGTTGCAAAACGAAACAAATTTTATTGTCGATCACTAAAGGAGGTTTTTAACTTTATTTAAAAAAAACCTGAAAGAAGTTTATTATATATTTAAAAATAAAACACGTGTATGTGCGTCTGTTTGTAACGTATCTTACTAGCGACTTACCCTCGCTACGTGGTCCAAGTCGTAGTTTATCTGTGCGCTAAATATCATCCAAATCCGTCCAGTCGTTTTCGCACGAGGGACTAACAAACAAACACACAACATACAAACTTTCGCATTTATAATAGTAGTTCGATACTATTCGGTTCTGTTGAAACCTCGATAAGTCATTCGTTAAACAAGTGCCATATATTTACGGAAGGTGGTTCGCCATTCGTATAGGATTTATTACTTGACCTACATAATAATGTGCGTCACTACATTTAAATGTAATAGGGTATAGTCACTAGGGATTTACACAAAATAAAAGATGCAATTCGATGTTTTAAAGCAACATAAAAACTCGATGAATTAGCTAGTTTTACGTAGAGACAACCACAGATTTAGTTAAATAAAATAATGGCATCATATTTAAAATTGAAACACTAAAATTCAACACTGTTATCACTAAAAGAACTAAAAACTTAGGCTTTATCTAGTTTAGTGTCAGAGCTCAGACGTCGTGACCGTTACTTGTTATCAAAAATCGACATTATTGTAATACAATATAATAGGTTTTTTTATATCTATTGATTGACGTTGCTGCTCCAGCAAAGATACTTGCAGATAAGTCCACAGCAATATGCATATGTAAATGCATATTATTATTTGGTAATAATTATTTTTATCGTCTGTGACTACTTTTTACTAAAATCTTATTATTTTAAATAAAACTATCTTTTCGGATTTTAATCGCGAATTTACTTTGATTTTTGATTACTTACGTTTCGAATGATTTACAGCTAGTATGTCACGGGAGAGACTCAGGTTTTAGACGTCTCAAAGATTATTATATACTAATTACAGACAGCATACCCACAAACTAACAAAATGATTTCAAAATTTAAAAAAAAATGCACCAGACTACAAACCTTACAATATATGTCAATTTTAATTCTAAACATTATTTTTTAATAATTTTAATAATTGAATATGTCATGAATGGCACGAAAAATCAAAACAAATCCGCTATAAATTCTGAAAAGATAGTTTTGTTTAAAGTTTCAAATATTAAATCTAATAACCGTACCGTAACCGTATTAAATTTTATTATGTCAGTTTATATGATGTTCGCCTGATCGATTCTGCCCATGGCGGCCAATCTCATTGAGACTAGCCAACTGCACAGAAGATATTATAGTGCACAAGTGTACGCGCAGACACAAGTGCACTCTCTATTCCTGTCACTCTCATACTCTGGTGGGACGACCACTCGTCACGACCAGTGAGAGTTAGGCGCAGGACCGACGGCTTTACGTGCTCTCCGAGGCACGGGGGTGAAACACCTCCAACTTCCCAACTCCGGGCTGTTACTGAGGCTTAATATACAGAAAGACTTAATAACTAAACTTGGCCCGACCCGGGACTCGAACCCAGGACCTCCGGGTGTGCAGCTAGCCCACACTATATTATCCCCGACTTGAGTTTCTCGACTTACATAATGTTTATTTATCTGTTTTATATATATATATCAAAAAATGGATTTATTAGCTTACGTTACTTTGGCCTTTAAACTACTTTTATACTTAAATCATGTCGCCTATCATATAATATCCACGCCTTATTGAAGGAGATCTAACAAATAAGCTCTAACTAAAATATTATATAAGAATTCGTTTTGTCATAAAAATGTTAGAATTTATTTTATACTAACGACTCACCCTTGCTACGCTCGGGTTCGTCCTTAGATACGTTTTAACGTTTAGTATAGATTTCTCAGAGGTGACATATTTTCCCGCCGTGAAAGTATCCTATATGTTGACCCGGATAACCAGCTATCATACCTAATTTCATCAAAATCTTTTCAGTGGTTTTCTCGTGATGCGTTCCCAGAAAGACAGACAAAAATTCTAAAAACAATAGATTCGGCCTCTGTATCGATAATAATGCCTATTTCAATAAGATTTTCCAAAAAATATTTAATGTACAGATTCGACTATGAATTTTATTATATGTATAGATGAAAGCATAAAGAAGTTGAGACTCTATTTTTAATGTTGATTGAAATAACATTTATACAACATATAAACTTACCTTTGCGATTGTAACTGTCCTCTCAAATTTAACAGTTTGTGTTAAATCTGTAAAGAAAATAAATAATTAGCAAATGATATAATTGTTACTATCTTACATCGTATATAGAGAAACCTGATGTAATACGAATAACCTTGCCCAGAGTTCTAGCCCGCGATCATCCTAACATAAGATAAAGTTATCCCGTCATCATTTTTTATCAGAACAATATATTAAGGAGTTCAAAGAGCTAATAAAGTATCATATCTTTTATCATTTTCTCCACACGAATGTGCTATATAAATTGGAAATAAAATCGACAAGTCATTTAAAACTCAAACCGTAGCTTCATTAAGTTACGTAACAAAGCCTTTAAAGCTCCATTCACAACGCACACATACAAATCTCACCTATTTACATACGACCACACACGGCACTCACACATAGAGACTAGACATGCTATTGGCCCACTTTCGCTTTCGCATAGAGCCTACATAGTTGAAATTCCAAACGAACCGCTCTGGTTGGCTATTCAAAATTTGACCTTCATTCCGATTGGTTGATTCTTGCTCATATACTGACTGTTTACGGAAATAATGTATAGAGCCTCCGTAGTTCCGGGCCTCAGAAACCTTGTATGTAACTCCTTCACATTTGAACGAGTTTGAGATAGTTTATTTTACGATACATAGAGCTTGTTCTTTTTAATATTTCATAAATATATTCTGATTTATACATATATTATTCTACATAATTATTGTGTACTACACGCTTTCAATAGTAAGTAGAAATATACTCTATATCACGATTGCAAACTATCTAAAGTTGGAAATTGAAATTTTCATTTATAGCCAAAACTTAAATCAATAATTACAATTGTACCATTTTACATGTAACTCTTTAAATGTATAGACATTTTCTATGTAAACACTACGAAGTATAAGTAAACAAGCCCTGGTACAAGCACATTTACTAATCAATTTGCTACATTATCTGCACACAAGGAGTCCATTTTTTCTGAAGTCAAATGTTATCAGAACTTAGAACAGTTCTTTCTTCGAACACGTGCCGATATAAAAATAGACCGTCATATTTTTGCAAATATCGTAGATAAATTCACATCCAAGTATTATTCCTTCTAAACAACTCTGGACTCTGTCGAATTGAAAGTTAAGTTTAATTATAATATAAAGTAAACTTATTTTTATTTTATATATTATTTTTTTATAATAAAGAGGTTTTTAATAGTATTATAAAACAAATAGATAAACATATTATTCTTCCTCATGGCGTAGGTGTGTGACCCGTGCAATGACTTATTCTACGTTATCGTCACAAATAACACACAGTTTTCTAGCTACTCGAATATTATTATTAACAATTGGTTTCACGTAAATTTGAATATTGTGTGACAATTAATTTTATTCCTCTATGTACAGATGTTATTTAAATATTTTTAACCGACTTCAAAAATGAAGGTTAACAATTCGACACGTATGTATGTAATATTATTGGAAGTGTAAAATAATCACATAACATAATCTATTAGGGAATGTAAACAAATATACAAAATTTTATAGGTGTGTGTATGTTTGTATGTATGTATGTTTGTCCACGCATTTCACCGAAACCAGTAATCGGGTCGTGATTATTCTTTTTTTATTTGCTTAAATTTATTTCAACTTATTTTGGTAAAGTTCTTTCAGGTTAAAGGACTTACTGAATATTTCGTAATAAGTTACTTTATTATATCTAAAAGTTCGATACACTTTAATAGTAATAATATTTAAAGACGTAATGATAATATACCTTAGTCCACTTATTTTTACTATAATTAAAAATTTCGAAATAATTAAATGTTAGATTATAATATTTGGCTTCGACTAACAACATTCAGTCTGTCTTTGTTATTTTAGAAACATCTTTTTATATATTTATTTATTTAATCGAGTATAATTAGTTAAATATTCTATAATGATTAAATATTAAACAAATAGACTCTGGTTCATATTATATTTATGAAGTGTAATGAAAATACATAATTATATATTAAAAACGTTTAGATTCGAGTTTTGTGGCTAGAAACGTCTATGTTTGCGAACTAATATTTAGACAGCGTATTAAAAACGCGATAACGCTGCACTGTGTATAGTGATGTGATCTGTGCTTGTCGATGAATTGTGTTTTAAATTGTTTAATATAGTTTTTAAATTTATTTATTTATAAGAAATATAATATATGAAATTATAAATCGTGCCAACTTTTTTATTTTTAATAATATGTTTTATGTTTTGAACGTTTTATTTCTTTAATAATATTATTAAATGTATAACAATGACATTAAATATTTTTTAAACTTTAAATCCATTTATTTTCTTTTAATTTCGAGTTTTTATATCAATAAATCGATTTGAATACATATGTATTCGAATACTATTTTGTAATAAACAAAAAGTAAACAATAATTATATAATCAAAACCCAGATAGAGACGTGACCGTTATCAGATTATCGATGTCGATACGTCACATCACTAACCTAGGGCAGGGCCAGTTATCAGTGCAAGAGATTGCGAATATGAAAATATCGCGTAGATAACGTGTGCCGAATTATAGTAGATTAGACATTGTAGACTAGTTTTAAAATATTTTTACTATTCACTATGTTAGATGCGACCTAAAAACAATATAATTATCTCAATGAATAAATTATGTTTGAAAGAGATTACTTTAAAAAAATAATGTTATTACAAATGTACAATCTCCAAAATAAATTTAATAAAGTTTTATTTTTAGTAGCAAATAGTACAATACTAGCGTCTTCAATTATTTAATATAACTAAGCTAATATTTATAACTAACCACTCATCCTCGCTCCACTCGGGCTCTTACCTAGTAACGTTTTCACGCTCGGTATATAGATTTCTCGGAGATGAGATACTTTCCCGCAGTAAAAAGTATCCTATATGTTGACCCGGATAACCACTTATCATTATACTAAATTTCATCAAAATCTGTACAGTGGTTTTCTCGAGATGCAGTCACAGACAGACAGACAAAAATTCTAAAAACAATAGATTCGGCCTCTTTATCGATAAAAATGATATTTCAATAAAATTTTCCAAAAAATATTTAATTTACAGATTCGTCTGAGTTAGAATTTTATTATATGTATTGATAAGAGTATAATCTAATATATTGTTTTAGTAAAGAAGGGAAATTAAAGGCCAAACCAAATACGATATATTATAAGTAGGAAAACCTTATAATGTATCGTAATGGGCTTCATGAATTACCTAAACTGTGTAACTGTGTAGACATTTTTAGATTAATTAGGGGTTTTTTTGGTACTTATAATTTAATTATAACATTACAAACAATACTTTTATTTTAATAGTTTTTATAGTTAAGATTCTTTCTTTATCATATACAACTTTTGCTCGTAATTTTACGAACAATATTATTTTTTAATCGACTTGTGCTACTCACGATACAGGCTTTGCCTAGTGTACGTACTTTTTGATATAAAATATATTGTAAGCTATAGTTTTTGGCAATAAAAGTTATTATTATTCAACAGAATAGCCTCTTAAAACGCTTTAGTCGTTGACACAACATCGATGTCTTTCTGCTATTGTTAGAGTGTTAACTCTTTAACGTTTAAATTTATATGTAGGTATCAGCTACTAGTCCGGACGAAAAAGTGTAAACAAAATTGTAAAATGGCATATTTTAAATAAACAAATTAATACATTAGTTCGTACAGGAAACCTATGTTATTGTTTGTTTATTGTAGTGAGTCGAGTTTCAGCTGCTTATTTTAGGTTTGGATCCTAGTGTGTCTTGATGGTTGTGATTAAGGAAAGTGTTTAAAAGAATGTAGCTTTTATAATACGTTTAAACACAACATTTCTTGTTTGCAGATCTAGAGGTATAAGCTGTTTTTTAGTGAGAGTAAGAGTTTTATTAAGTTAATTTAAAATAATATTATATTTAGAATACCTATATATTAATATTTTTTCCGTACCTTTAATGTTCTGTAATTACCATAATACTATACGGTGCTATTGCAACCTAAATTTCCTTACAATAAAATGCTGATCAGAAATACCTCATATCTAAACAATACCCATAACACGTACTCCTGTTGAAAGATGTGCAATTGTTTTACTTCCAAAAACCATTGCATAATGTCGACCATGACTTTCGAGTAGAGTAGAGAAATCTACACTTTAATGGTGGCATAATAAAGTTCAATTTAGTAAATTTAAGATAAATAGTTGATATCGTAAGACTGATCTCGTGAGAACTAAATTTCTTTTTACTATATAATAAGTTTTATTTGCAGGTTTTATTGCTTTTAAACAGTTTCTCCAAATTACATCGACATTGACTCTACATTTATAAATATTTTCGTATATTCTATCCTCAACAGAATGATTGTTAAGTTGAAAAAAATATAATTAGTTAGAATATAGAGCTGATTTTGTTCATTTACAACGTATTGTTTGTAAATAGTGCAAATCCATCATTTCAGTTAGTTGATTGGTTAATTTGAACCATTCTTAGAAATAATGTGGCCTTTTAACTGCATTTTTCTTAGAAATGCAACTTTAATGTTATAACTCCAAGTATAAACATTATAAAATATAATTTTATTTTAATATTTCCCTCGTGTTATTAATAGTCATTTTTCGTATGTTATTTAAACAATATAGTAAACGAATCTGATGATCTGTATATATTATATGTATGTATGTATGTATGTATGTATGTCCGACCCTATGTTCTCTAGTAATTACTAAACGGCTTACCCGATTTTGAAGATTCATACGTCGTTAGATTCGTCTTGATAACGTGTCATAGAATATTAGATATCATTAAAAATCAAAATGGCACAAATTTGTATCTTGAAATTTTTTTTCTCTGAATCAATTGAGTACCTTTTATATTAATATTAATTAATTTAATAGCTAAAAGGGTTAAGTAACTAATATACTCAGCTTATATTTATGGTATTGCTTCAATTAAACTTCCTATTACTAGTTCTTTGAAATATTTTTTAAGGTGACATAGACCACCGTCAACGGTCTCCAGTTACGAGTACATACGAGTACCTACATATTGAGATCGGTCGGTTGCGCAAGCGTCGGTGTTTCATTGTTTTAATTATTGCTTATCAAAATCTTTTACTAGAATTTTGATTGTATGGAATTTGTAGGAAAATATGTTATATCTAAAGCATAGTTGCAGTTTATATCCATTGTAATTTAACCACTATTAATTGTATTAAAAAGGAGGTTTTATTGAGGCGTATGTTTATATTATTTATATTTTTATCTGTGGTTTCCAGAGCGTCTATACTTAATATAAATTAAAAAAGTTTGTTATTTTGGTCTTTGATATATTAAAAAAGTGTTTTAGTTGAGAGGTATAAAGGTTTTTAACAGTCTTTAAAACAATCTAAATATATATAAATAAAAGTTCTAACTCGACAAATATTTTATTTTAAATATATCATGACATTATACAATAAATACAATAAAATTAAAATGGAGGTTCTAAATTGAAGCATTTCCGATACTAGTATAGTAAAGTAATAAATTAAAGTAGGATGGATAGTGTGTATAGAAAACCGAGTTTGCCAGACTACGTGACGTCGGTAATTAATTATGTACTCATTAAATCGAATATTGTAATAATTTTCACTTTCCAATGCACTATTTCCCATGAACGTAAACCAATGGAATTACAATCGGTGTATAAACCTACCGTTCTCGAGTTTTCTTTGATTTTTGTAAGTGTCATATCCATTTTAAATTTAGTAGGTATGTGAAATCCAGATGAGGATATAGTAATTTTGATAGAGCTATTCAATAGCTACTATTTAATTTGGTGTTTTAATTAGAGTTGAAAACGTGTTTTTTTTCCTTTTTTAAAACTATAATTATTCAACTATAATTCTATTATAAAAACTTCTCTTGTCACATATTGCTGTCAGTCTACTTATGTATTTATTTTCACTTGACGGATACCCTTAAGAGTTTTAGCTATATGTAGAGTCAATATAATTATAATAAATGCTTTGTTTTTTTTTTTAGTTTCCGTACATTAAAAAATCATAGAAATAATGTAAAAAGTATAAATAATGAAACAAATCTTTTAATAAAACGTTGTTTTATACACGTTCCTCTTACGGTAGAGAGTGTCTTTTAGACAAATGATTGTTCGCTTAGAGAGTTATAACCCGCCATATCGAGTCTTAACAGTAGGTGGATAATTTTGACCATCATACCAGGAAAAATGGAACTTCGTATATTTTTTTTACTGTTTTACATTAAAAGATGAAGATATACATAAATATTTATTTTCATTAAATAACGTATAGCTCAATACTTTTCAATTTTAAACGTGCAAAAGACCCAAATATACTGCGACTATAAAAATAAATAGGTGATTTTCCATACTTTTAATTAAATATCTAAAGCAAATTTTTAAGACTTTTTATTTAATTATACAAGTAATTTTGTAGATATATTTGTGCAAACAAAGTACTGTAATCGTTGTGGTTTTTTAGCGCTGTATCCTGTTTAGTCATGAAGTTTCGTCTAGGCTGATAGGTGCGGTATTATCGAACACACAGATGTCTACAATATTTAATTAATTAATTAATTTAAAAATCCATACTAATATTATAAATGCGAAAGTAACGTAAAGATTTAGATAAAATTTGGTATGGACATAGTTTCAGACCTAAGGAAGGACATAGGATAGTTTTTATTGCGGAAATCATTCTTTGAGTGGATAAATAGGAGGATGGAAGTTTGTATGGGGAATTAATCATTCCTCAAGTAAGGGTTTTTTTTAAAGTACTAATACCTATTTTTCTATATCTACGTAAAATTTATATATATATATATATATATATATATATATATATATATATGTATATATATATATATATGTATGAGTATACAAAAACTAAATATGAAATAAAGGTTAAATTATTTCGCATAATAATGGAAGTACAAAATATCATAAAAAAGTAACGTTTTAATTCCACATGAATAGAACTCATTTCAGTTGGTCTATTCACTTAGTTGCAGAGGCCAGCAAAGCATGCGTTATACAAGCGTGCTCAAAGCCCCTTCAGCCGAGTGGTTTGAGGACATCACATAATTGACTTTTAGTTTGCTGACTTCTGAATTAGTGTTGATAAAAATTGCTTTCAAATACCTTTGTTGATAGTTTTTGATGTTTTCACACATTTCCCACTTATTTTAATATATTCTTCTTTTTTATTTTTATTTAAACTCACCTATGACTTTGTATTTGCTATATTTGTTTTGCTTTTCATTTTTATTTCGTTATAATTTTTTCTATACATATTTTTTCATTGTATCACTTTAAACCATGAGAAAGTGATTATTTGGTTTTTTTTATTATTAGAAGTTATCAATGATGTACGTTACTGTACATAATTCTAAGCTTACGTATTTAGTCGATATATATAATTGACTATTAAATAAATGTACGTTACACTGTCATTGCCATATTTTTAAGGAAAATGGATGTCTCGTAAACATTATGGTATAATTAATAACTAAAATAGTTAAACCCTAAATAAAGTGCATAACATAACATGATATAATTAATTAAAAGCAACGATTATTATTTAGGTAACTTAAGGCTAAATTAATTTTGACATACAAGTTTCCTCTTAGGTATGGAGACTCTTAGATCGTCGTATAATGACATTTGCTTGATGATTTGTAAGGTCCCTTTTTTATTCCATGATATGATTTTTGCTTGATAGTATGTATGTCCCATATAAATGCTAGTAGTTTATGTGAAGATTATGCTCTATATCATTTCTTTTCTATACATTTGTTCTTGAAAGGAGAAATATATATGTATATATATATATATATATATATATATATATATATTTATTTATTTGAAAAGTTTTACTAAACCGTAATATATTCAATTAATAGGACTCTATATTCATAATTTTTATGTTAGGTTAAAGGGACTATTTTAGGAATAAAATTGTAAGTATATATTTATTATATACATACGTATATACTTATTATATACATAAGTTCAATATTTTTCGTTAAGTCTCTATTTATGTCTATAATTTTGAATTAAATTAATAATAAATGTTATACCAGTTGTCTCTTTGGAAGTCAGAGACGCGCACTGCTGATAGTAGTGAAATATTTAATTTTTTTATCGTCGGATTCTAATGGCGCGAATTTGTATTTATTTAACACATCATTCAAAGTTTTAATTTCACATTAAAAATGCTAAATTCCAAAATGAACACATCGTTTGTGACTTCCTCACAATACGTGACACTGGCAGAATGTATTGCGTCCGTTAGCGCAAATCTAAGCCACTACGAAAAAAAAGCAGGAGTATATTTTTTCTCATTATAAATTCGTAAAGAAGGATGTAAAGAAAGTTTCGGACTCTACCATACGGTGAAATTTATTGAAATAATTTAATATATATATTTTTCACCTTAAAATAGTTGGTTTTTTTTTAATAAGGATACTAATGTAGTATTTTTAATTTTTATCGTATTTTTTACGTCGAATTGATAATGATTCCATTCAAATTGGTTTAACTTTATATAACATTCAAACGTTTGATGAATATTATGGTGTTTTCGGTTGTTCAGTGGAAGTCCCCATCCCAAAGATGCAAAATTGTCTATATATTTCAAATGTAAAAATTGAGGCGTAATTATACAAGATTTATCTAAAATATAACGGCATACCGAAAAGAAAATAGTGGCTCGTCCAAGTTTCATTTATTTATTCTATAAGATATAGCCTCATTTTATACTTGAGACTAGAAAAATAATAAGTAAAAGTTTAAAAGGTAGAAGTGTCAGTATTAAATTATGATGATTTCATTGGTGTTTTAGAGTAGGATCATCTCAATGTAATAATATTTTAGTAAATCGAGCTAGTTTTCCTAAGCGCTAAAGTAATATGACCTAAGTTTATATTGGCTTCTGTTTTTCAATATAAGTAACCTTCTTGTGTCTCAGCTTACAGAAAAATCATGAAAATAGAGGTTATAAAATATGTAAATTTAAAACCATGATTAGCATGCTAAATATATGATCTAAATTCACACAAATATTTTATAAGTATAATCGGAATTTGTTTAGTACTATTTTAGTTATTTATATGTATATATTTTATATATACATATTTTATATATACATATTTAACAATATAACGACAAATTGTGCAGAGATAAAATGTAGAGAGCATTTGATTTAGGCTCATTGGGAGGAATATCCAAATATAAATGATGTAATTATTATTATTGTAAAGTCACGTTACATTTATATATATATATATATATATATATATATATATATATATATATATATATATAAATAAATTGCAAAATTGTTTATAATAAATAAATGTAAGGAAAGAAAATTTAAAAATTACATTTAAGTTTTTCTTCCCATTTGAAGTTTTCTGGATTGTAAGTTTATTTTTAATATCGTTTAAACTTAGACTCTACTGGACGGTAACTGCGTAGTCGGTCTTGAAACTTTTAGTCTAAGATTTAAGTCGCACTGAAATACTTCTTTTTATTTTACCTGTATATTGGTTTAAATGAGTTATGTAGAGTACGAAATAACTGCACTAGATTTTTTCAGTAGAGACAATTTCAGCGTCATTCGGTAAAAAACTGCATGCATAAACACGTTGTTTAATTCCTAGAAGAATATTTCAAGTTTTTTGTTTTGAATTTGTATTATATATTTTGTATAATCAATAACTATTTTAAATTATTTTAATTAATCGCGATAAATAAATAAAATAATACGAACTATCACATTGCGTCCTAAATTGAGGTTATCCAGCAAACAGTTTTTGTGCAAATAATATTATCATGCGACCTTGCTCCCAGCTATCTCTATGATAAAAAAACTTACCAAAAATATTTAGTTACGAAATCCACACACAGCACTGCACTTTTATTTGTTGGTAAAACTTCGAGTGATCATCGCGCGATCGCCGGCCGCTGCCGACTGACGGCGCGTACGCATTCCCCCCCTCCACGAAAAAGTGTCGCCAAAATATCACAAATGCCGCGAGATGAAAGTGAAGGGGTGCGTTCTGTTCGAGAGGCTGTATGCTAATTCTCATCCCCTATTTTTCCGGGGCGGGGATGCAATTAAAAGCCGCGCGTGCGTGGGGGTGCGATTAGAACGTCTGTCACTTTTTTACTTTTTCCTAGTCTGCCGGGTTAGATCGATGAGCGTCTGGGAGGGGTTGTCGTCGATACGATATTTATGCATTTGCAACAGATCATCTAGTTGATTAGTTTTATGCATTGTCCGAGATTTTATTGTAATGTAAAAATTCAAAAACGTTAGAAATTTTGGTGTTCTCAAACACATTTATAAATTATATTTGAATATTAATTTTTTGCATTTTATATAAAAAAATTAGGTTTTGTTGATATATATTATATCCATAGTTAAACTTAAAACGTTCTCTCAAATTAATCGATAATATTAAAGTTATATATCGAATCGTTAATATAATATTGAAATCCCGCCAAAATTTCAAATATATCTAATCGTAAAAGTATAAAATTACTGATATTCAATTATAACATATCTGATATAATTTGAACTATAATAACCTAGATAATATACAGATTTTGGTAAAACATATTAAAAAATCTTAATAAAACATGCGAAGTAGTTTTTATATGTCATTGAGATCTTTTCGCAGTTTTGACGGTTAAACCAGATACAACGATAGTCGCTAGCACTCTGTAGCTATAATAGTAGAGAAGGGTGCGTGCAGCGATGCTGCAGGCTCGAGCTGTGCAAACTTATGTTAAGGACCTAATTTGTTCGTGTGAATGTAACACAGATTGTTAGCTGACTCTGATTCTATTTTTCCACTAGAATTCCTATAAACTCTACATTTCAAATAATAACGTAAATCTAAGAAAGTATTATAGCTTTTAAATTTTGAGATTTTTGTTTTTGTTTTAATAGAAAAGTATAGATTATGTTATACTGAAATTACGCCGTTGAGTCCAGTTCATTAATTTAAAAAAAATAATGTAATGATTATTTCGTTATTTTATGTTTTATAATCACTATATTTTTATAGAACTTTTGTTTACGCGTTAAATTATTTATTAGTTTTATATCTAATAAAAATACAATGTAGCTTATGTTATATTTTATGAAAGTTATTTTTTATGGTTATCTATAAATAGCTTGAAACAGGAGCGTATAATAAAAATAACTTTATTTTAACTTCACAATCGGCTATTTATACTTAACGCCTACGTAAGATTTTTTATGTTAAGTCATAGAATTAGCATAAATTATGGTTTAAAAATTCTTCACAACTCTGAAAATAATCACGAAATGAATAAAGTGAAGCTGGATTTTTTAAATAATAAAGGACCTATATAATAATTGTAATAGACAAATTTGCGATCCCCTCGAAAAACATATGGGCAACCGTTTCAGATGCATCGGTTATTGCTCTTAAACTAATTATATATGCGAGAATGTCTAATGTCGAGGTCCGAGCGCACTTGCAGACTAGCTACACCCCTGTCCGTCTGTGCGTTGTATTTACATTATAATACATTTCTTACAAAGATCCGGTCTAATTGTTCGAATAGATTGAAAATCAAGTCTGGAGAGATAAACGGCGATATTTGGCAATTATATTTTTTTACGAATAAAACTTATTATTTTATAAGTGTTTATAAATTATTTTTTAATAATAAAACGGTACTTACCTCAGCCGGTTCGCCGCTTCAAACGATAGAAATAACCAACAAAACATAAACAGAGTCACAGTCAATGTCCGGCCGGAACACGAAACAAACTTAACCAAAGACGAAATTCACTAATTGAGACTAGAATAGAGGACGAGGGAATTGGAAGTTTGAGTGTCCAATGAAATCAAGCGGGCGGCAGCTCGGCCAATCCGTCACGCCCGCCACACACGCACGTGAGAAACTTTTGCTAACTTCCGAAAGTTTGCCACGCGTCCGAATAGTTGCGTAGATAATACGACCGACACGAATAATTGGTTATTTTTTTGAAAGCGACCACCCGTCCGGTCCGGTCCAGTCGGTCTGCAATATTAACAGCCGCGTCCACCTTTTGTAATGAAACGTTCACACATGCTTCCGCATTACCGTCCCGATGCCATCAATAATGAAGCCGGGCGGGAAAAAACAAAACGGGGCACCTCTCCCGGCGAGGCGCCCGCCGACACTACAGCCTCCTCGTCAAAGATCAGAATTGCATATCTGGGTTGCGTTAATGAGAGGGGGTGGGCTCGTGGGGGGTCGAAAAAGTGGCACCGCTCGCGCGCGAATATAAATTCATCGCCAAAAAATCATTACGCGGGGGGTGGTATTACGGCCCTCTGCGCGAGTTCGTTCGTATAGTTTTTAAATCGGGCGCTCACTCGGCGTCGCGGCGCCACGGCGCGTGGCCGCTGACTGTTTCTACTTGCACTATGCCACAACTATCACGCATGCACTTGAGAACACGTACCACGATGTAGAGACGAAACTCGTCTGAGCTTTGAACGGGCCGAAACTACTTGTTAACTCTAATTGATATAGCGTTGAATATTTTGAATACGAACTCGTTAGTATAGTCTACTTTAAAACACACATTAACTATAGCACTGTACTTAATTAAACATATTACAAATTAAATTTAGTTTATTGACAAAATTAGGGAAATGTATCTTATTAAAGAAAAAAACGCGTATGCAAAATCGTGTTTTCAACGACGAATGTAATCAATTTGTGCGTAGGAAGCGACACACTTCCGCACACAGGGCTGGTGGATGTGTGAGAGTCAAATTAAATCTAATACAAAATTGCGTTTTATGTTCGCTAGTGCGTGTAGGTGTGTGGGGGTACAATGCGAGCTCTCGGTACACTCGACCTGATTATTATGCATTAGGAATCTAATTATTATAATTAATACTTTTTAATTAAAATTCTATATGTAAACTCCTACATTAGCATTATATATTGTAGCTATTTCTAGAGTATGAAAAAGTATAATACTACGCCTATGTAGGTTTGTTTCTGATAGCTATTTGAAAAAAAACGAAACAAATGAAAAATCTCGATACTGCGATACTGAAAGGTTTCTTAAATACGCACGTCAACGTGTAATGAGCAAAGAGAATGCACCTACAAAGCGACTACGCGGCGTAGGCCTCTACGCTTCGGCTCATATCTCGGAATATACGACTTTATTACTTTTTGCGACTTTTTTTCTTTAATTAGCATTTTAATTTTGCTTATTATTATTATTTTTAATTATCAATAAAAGAATTTTGAATGGTATAAGGTAAATTAGTTCTTTTTTCTATAGAAAAATTGCTTTTACATATTATATTAGTGAAGAAACCTTTAAATGAATAATGTAATATTATTTCATAGTAATAATGATAAATTTTAAAAAAATTACAAAATAAAGTTCACACTATCAAAACACTCCAATCTCAAAGCTTAATTATTATTAAAAAAGAAACATCTACATAGACAACAACAGAATAGATTAGTATAACGCAATCGACTGTACTTTAAAAACTCACACAAACTTAATGTTAAAAATGAATTACCAACACAGACTCCCTGCCACCCTGCTACACTCATTTTCATTTCGATGTTTTTGGGTTTTTGCGCAGAAGGGGGGACCCCCACCCTAGGGGGCCTCCCCCGCCCTATGAAAATAGGATATATTTTTATGTTTTATTTGCCCGGAAGCTCGAGCTTAGTTGCATGTTTATTAGAAGTTTTTATTAGTAGAAACAATACGTTTTTTTGCGTTTTTTTCCGGTACCACTATAGGATGATTTGCGATGACAATCGTATCGGCGAAGTCACGAAATGTTTGTTTTTGATTAGGTTTAGTTGTTCATTTTATAGTGCTGTACCAAGTACGACTTGATGGATCTAGATACTATGAAACAACTATTAAAGACATAAAACGTATCTCTATATTTTATTTCTCAAAACATAAGAGTTTCCAGCGGTACTTAAAAATCAATTGTTATTTATAGATAATAAGGAAATTGCTTTCTAATATCTGTATACAAATTTACAGTTTAAAAAAATGTAACTTAAAAGAAAATAACCATTATTTAGACCAATACTTTAGAGTTTTCGCAATCAATCGAAAATAATTACTTACATTATTATGAATGAAATTACTAAAACAAAGTTTATAATTAGTTAAAATAAATTTTCTAAGTCAATCAATGGTCGCAAAGATGAAGGTCGTATAGTTTTACCTTCCTTAGAGTAATTGCGTTATCGTTGAACTGTTTTGAACTATCTAAATATGTAGAGCCACTTTGCCTATTAGACATTTTACTTATTACATATTTAACAAAATAAAAATATATACAAATCAAATCCGCGGAAACATCCGAAGAGATAGTTTTATTTAAAATGTCCAATATTCGTCTAAATCTAAGAAAATATTTTATTTTATCTCATTATTATAATAATAGTGTTTAAAAACGGAACGGAAAATATTGAAATTTAGCCTATTTCAACTTCCAGTTCTTAAACTATATCTATATAAAATTTTACGTCTATCTGATTATTCATTGCTGCATGAAATAAGAACAAAAGAATAAACGTATTTTCGCTTTTATAATACGAGTATCAGTTAGAGGAAGTCAAGAAATATTTTTGAATAGAAGTATAAAGTGCTTTTAAAGATTTCATATCGTTTATGTTATTAGTAATATTTTTTGACTCAATAATATATATACGTGTATATATATATATGTATATATATATATTCTTTAGTATATATATATAAAAAAAAGAACCTGATAAGAGAATTTCAACACTTTTATTTAATTAAATTTAATATTTTGAGTTTTTTTCTATATTTCATTAACATTTTATAAATACGTCAATAACATTGAATAATTCCATTTCCATAATAATTTCTTAGATTTACGCATTAATTTACGAATTTATTTAAAATTCCATTTCCATTAAAAATAACATTACCAACGTTCTGAACATTTTTAAAATTCTTTAACGATTGTAAAGTGGCATTTTATCTAAACCTCAAGATATCAACAATATTGATGCCAAGAAATAGCAGATGTTTACTTATAAAATACGTTAAGTTTACGTTAAGTAAAAATATTACGTTAGAACATGTACAATTCAATTCACTTGTTAATGGTTTCAAAGCATGCCAGTTGATCACAGATTACTTCGCCAATGTCACGTAGAAGACACGAAGGAGATTGGTCGGTAAAATAAGATTATTAAACTATATCCATACTAATATTATAAATGTGAAAGAGTGTTTGTTTGTTTGTTTGTTTGTTTGTTTGTTTGTTTATTTGTTTGTTTGTTCTTCTTTCATGTCGAGATAGTTGGATTGCTGGAGAGTGATATAAGTTACTTTTTACTGCGGGCACTTACCTAGTTCCCACGGGAAAAATCTTTATAATACAATCCAAAAAAAATATTTATGATTAGAATTACTTGAAACTTGGTATTAATGCTCTTTAATATAATGAAATAAATAGGAGTTTTAATTTTTTTTGAAATTCATCCTATAAGGGGGTAAAATAGGCGATGAAAGTTTGTATGAAACTACATTTTTAGAGATTTTTTGTAGTTTTAGCGCGAACGAAGTCGCGGGTTCTGCTAGTTAATTAAGTGTAAATAGAACATGTATTATTGTCAAGGCAAACGTACGCAGTCATAACCTTATTGTAAAACTAAAACCGTCAACGCACTCTCTATCGCGTATTTTGTTAATATACATTTGTGTATAAAAGCTACGCGGCTACGCTGTGCTCTAGCTCTATGCCTCGCACCTTATTCAGTGACTTCTAATAAAAGAGAACTTTCAAAACATTTTTTGAAGAGTATATCACTATTTAAATAATACATAAACTGCTTCTGTTATGCTTTTATCTATTATCTATCGTTTTCTATATATTTATGTTGTTGCGTGGATTATACATAGACTGCATCCCCATACAATCTTTCATCCCCATTTTCACCTCCTTAAGGGGTGATTTCCGGGATAAAAAGTATCCTATGTTCTTCCCGGGGTCTCAAACTATCTTCTTACCAAATGTCATCTAAATCGATTTAGTAGATCCGAAGATTACCCTCTACAACGTCACAAACTCACAAATGTTTATTATATTAGTATAGACAAGCGGCTCACCCTCGCTTCGTTCGGGTTCACTTCTAGTAAAGCACAAACAGATCTATCCCACGGGAACCGTTTATTTTTCCGGGATGAAAGTACAGTATAGATAGATAGATAACTCAACTGACGTCAGATCCTAATAATCTCACTATCCATGGGTTTCTTACGGGAGTTTGACGTTTGAAATTAGCTTCATAAAAGTTATGTCCTTCTATCTCTAGTAAGCAGAAACATAGATAGGTAAGTTATTGGGATTAACACTAAGATAATATTCATTATAAGGCAAGCTAAAGCTAAGGCGTTGCATTTCTTTACAGCAATAAAAAGCAAAAAACGTAGAGGGAAAGAAAAATATGAAGAGCAGAGCAGAGAATATCCTCTTGCCCACCTAGCAAGAAAAACTGTATCAAAAATATACAGTATTTTAAATATCAGCATATTAAATATTAACCTATTAAATATTAATTAATAAATGATGTTTTATTTAAGTACAGCAAAAATGTACCGCTTTTGATTTTACCAACCATCAAAATCTTCTTCTATATTATAATAACAATAAATTTAGTGGCTGATTTCGCTTTAGATCTTATTCACTAGTTTTTTTCTTATTTTTAAGTAGGCGTATAATAATTTAAAAAGAAATCGAAAGCAAAACTTATGGCGGAAAATTAGAAAAGCCACGATTCCCAAACGACACGAGTTCATTTTCATGGTAAAATAAAAATCCCGTGATTTGTTCAACTCAAACCATACTTATATTCAGTTAACTATGTTTATAGCTTTCATTGTTTTAACTTAGGAGAGTGGAGTCAAAGACGACGGTCATTCTTTACGTGCATATAATGGCATAGATAAGAATGAGATTTTATACCAATTTTTTATATGGGCTTTGATTAAAATAATATCTTTTTAGGTTAGGTTAGTTTTTAAATTAATAATGTTATCTTATCTGTTTGCACGTGCATCGTATTGTAATGGCTAAACCAATTTAAAGGAAACTTAGTAAGTTTATTAATTTCTGATAGAACAAATACAGTCTAAACCTCTAGGTCTAGAAGAATGAAGTTTTATATAATAGTGCCAATAACAAAAGTGACCAACCATTGAGGGGAGATTTTTAAAAATTCATCCCCTTAAGAGGTGAAATAGGGATACGTCATGTACGGTTGAAACGGTTAGGTAAAGTTTATCGTGTTTGAAAGGAAGTCTTATTGGGTTC